CAGCAGAATCTCTGGTCCTCCAGCCTTTCCTATATCCTGTTTACCCTGTCTGTTAACTTCCCAGCACACACCCACACTGAGAATTCAACTGGATCTTGACAAAACGCTTCTCTTTGTGTCAGCCAGGCACTGGTATGCTATTTGAAGGTTGTTCAACAGTAAAGAGCAATTCTATAAGGAGATACAAAAGTTACTGATGTATCAAACGTATAAAGAGGAAGCCATTGTTATTAATGCTGGATAAATGAACGGTAACCTCTGACCCTAACCCTAAACACAACAACACTTAATAATACAGTAAAGATGACCCTTTCTCTGCCAGCCTGCTTGTTTACACTGAAACAAATAAGAGACCATATTGGCTTTGCTGTGTGTGACTTTAGTTCGAAAATTAACAGCTGTTACAGCACAACAGCGTTGGCGTCTAACTTTTCAAGCCGGTTTGTCCTTTTACACAGATGTCGATCCAGCTCGGTAACTTCCATGCCTGCTGGCTTTAAAGGCGGCTCAACAATGCCATTTCCCCGTCTTCTGTGTTAGTTCCTTCACACAGAATGGCGAGGCAGTTTGAAGGCGCAACATTCTCCCCCTGAACAGATGCGGTAAATCGTAAACAAAGATGGCAACACTCGAGATGATCAACATTTGGCTAGATCAAGACAGCTTCCGAGATTTTCCCATGAATGTTTCTGACTCAGACTCTCTCCTGCTGTGTTCTTCATATCTGAAGGACAAACTCTGGTAAATGTATTGTACAGACTTTTTTGGGAGTTGTGTCAGAAAACAGCAATAGCATTTGCTGTAATTGCTTATTTTATAAATTAAGTCTAAAGTGTAGTATAATGAAGAACAACCACTTTTAGGGATTCGGGTTCCTGTGGACGTGTGTATCTATATATAAAAGTAATAGAGCAGGCCCTTATAGGTGATGGTATAATCCCGCCTGTCAATCCAGCAGATCTCTTGACCCATTAGTGCAGCCTCTCAGTCCAACAAAGACCTTCGGCTTGAAACACAAAACCAATTAAGAGAGGAGAGAAGAATTTTACTGCAGTTGTTATTCTTTGGTTGTCCACTAATGAACCGGCTGCTGCAGCGGCCGCCTGTGTTGTGGCCACGGTGATGGATGCTGCTTGTTGTTTCATCAGACTGCCGCAAAAAGAACCCTCTTGAGTGAAGAACGGCCCTGGAAAAGTAGCTCACAAACCAAACACATGACACAGGCCATCTCTTATTTACTTCCTGTCATAGCTCGAGGAGTGACGCGAGAATGCCTGCTTTGTTGTTTATACAAACATTTGTGACTGAAATGAAACAGGGCTTTAAATGATACCATGTGATGATGCCTTCCAGTGGCGTTGTCACCTGACTCATACTCATTAGCCGGACCTCAGATGCTGAGTGTCCTGTGCCCATCACAGTGACCTGCGTTCTTCAGCCGTGGCTCGCTGACACAGCAACGTCTCATAACAGAGGATGATACAGATACATCTACTGAAAGGGATTAGATGACCTCACTGCTGCATTCAAGTCAGAAAATCCACTTGACTTGGCTTCAGAGTGAAGATGTGCACACAGGCGAGAGGTGAAAGGCAGCTGCATGTAAACACACCATCCTGGGTTTTTAATTATGTCATCCACTTTGCGCTATAGCCCAAACTACACATACACAGCGAGCGCCTTGCCAGGTTTTTTATAATGCAAAATGGAGGTCCACGTTTGGGTTGAACGCACGTCAAAAAGGATGAATCATCTTTGAGCAGACATCCGAGGAACTCACCATCTCCTTCACCGACTTGACCTCTATGTGTAGCTCAGTAAATTGTGCAATGAAATATAAATTGTTTTTTTTCCGTCTCGGGAGCCGGTGATGTGTAACTCCTTTTATGATTCACAACACACACACACACACACACACACACACACACACACACACACACACACACACACACACACACTCTTTGGGTGTGAATCAACAGTTCAAGACAGAAATATCACTTCTGAGTGAACTCTGCTTCTGTGAATATTTTTTTCTACACTCTGGTGTTGAGTCAACCTTATTATTGTAATGATTCATTTAAATGATCAACCTCCTCAGGGTTGATTGTTGACCAGTCAAAGAGGAAACACCACCAGGCTCCAGTAAACAGCTTCAGTCTTCTCGTACACGATATTTCCTCTTGCTGTTTTGATGGTGATGATGGTGAAGAGGTCTGTCTGATGCAGGCCTCCCATAGATGTTTGATTGGGTTGAGATCTGGTGACTGAAGACCTTGTTCATCAATCCATTCAGGATATATATGTGGAAACATCTGCGTTGGTATGTTTCACTCATTTGTTCATGTTTCCCTTTGTAACTGTTCGATCAAGAGAAAAAACTGAAGTTGAACTTCAAATGTTGTAAACATTTAAATGAGACTATGATTTTTCAGTTGTTCTTTTTGTCTTAAAGGTTTTAAATGTTTGTGGAAGGTTTGCAAAGTTAAAAGCTCAAAGTTTGTAGTAAAGGGATCTCCTCTCCAGCAGCGGTACCCAGGCCACACATCCCTTTATGTTGTTTTATTCCCATTTATTTTGTGAAGCATTTATAACCTTGTTTAGAGGAGTGCTATAGAAATACATTTTATCAAGATTATTTATTTTTATTATAATCTTCATTTCCATAAAACGCAGATGCCACCAATAGCGTTAGAATAGTTGGATAGATGTCAATAGATGTATGAAAGCCTCATCATTACGTAGGAGTGGTTCAATTTCACTGTGTGAAATCAAATAAGGATGTTTCATCATCTGCGAGGATAAAAAGTGGAAGGGCAAACCTGGTAACATACAATATTATCTGTGACGGTAAGGCGCTGCCTCCTATTGTAGATCAGATGTTCAAAGGGAGATTTTGGACAGTTCCTGCCTAAGGTCAGAGAGCCGGGTGCATGCTAGGAAATCTAAAATAAGGGGAAGTAAAATATTGAAGTTTGGCAGCTTGGAGCAGCAGCGACTGTAACACACATTGCACGGAAAAGGGTTTCAAATCTGCAATTTGAAAAAACATTTTACTTCCTCTTGTAGTTGCATGGTTGAATAACCTACACTTCCTCATATCAATATCGCCAAAGTCAATTCTAAGTACATGACCATAAATACGTTTTAGATTTGTTGTTTTTTCTTCAGTTGCAAAGTGTGAAGTGATATTTGTCTGTAAATCTGGATGAACATTGCAAACAGGGACTCTTAATGGCTGACTTGGTTTCTTCTCCATGGTGCCGCTTTGTCAAAATTCAAGCAAATAAAAACGGGGCCCAAGTTGTCACCCATAGCAACCATTAACTAAGTGACTCTGTGTGATTCTTCCTGTTTACTGCCCCTGAATTAACAAGGCTGCAGATCCAAAAAATACATCATGATTATCCCTATACTAAAGATGGAGAAAGAATACTAATGACAAAGAGCGAACGGAGGAAACAATTCTTATATTAAGTTGAAACTATTTTAACATGTGGTCGAATGTGAGCTGACGGAGCGGCTCTGGCTATATGCTGGTTTGTGTCTAAATCTCCTCTCCTCCCTGAACCCGTGTGGCATTCTCAGGCAACCCCCCACCTCTTTTCAACACTGGTTTCTCATTACTGGCATTTAACTGACCTTCCATCTGTCTCCTTGCCTTTTGGTTCCTTGATCCTGTCATTTTCATACTGCGGACTGTGAGGGATTGCTTGGCAGACCGATGCGGCCCAGTGGTGAGAAGGAGTTAGTGCTTAAATGCTGTCGATGGCAGTGCAGATGGCTACATTAACTGAAGTTAAAATGACCCATTTGCTAAAACCTCTTGTGCAACTTGTGGTGGAATTTGAAAATAAACAGCAAACAATGAAATTGCCTTTATATATTTATTAAGTAGAAGATTTTGCAAAAGGATCAACCCAGAGCTCTGCACAGCTCACTGTCAATGAGAGTCAATAAGAAGCTGTCATTATTACAACGTACGTTTAGAGAAATTACCATGGATAAAGCAGGTGGGTTTGCTTCATGTCACAGGGACTTACTGGAATGAACAATTTGCACCAAAAAGTTATTTGAGACTAGCTGAAAGAGAGAGGTTCTGTCAGGGTGAAATTTCCACAACAGGGATATATAGCTCATGAATCTGTCAGAGAAACACACGCCCAACCACTCTGTCTTAAGTGGAAATCTTTGTCCAGGTCTTTGTTGGGTGAGAATATAAGTGAAATTTCACACACACTGGATCAACTTTTGTGATTTATGACACTGTGCTTCTCTATTCTGAGACAAACTCCTGCTCCTGTGGAGAAGAATCACCTGTGGTTGGAGAATAGACCAAAGTTTTCTAAGGGTGCAGTGTAGGTCAGCTCAAAGACAAGAAGTCTCTGACAGGAGTTGAGTTTAGATATATAACTCTTAACTTATGAATTAAACTCTTTTAATTTGACAGCATGATAAGTGAAAATACAGAGCTGTCAACGCTTTAGAACAATAACAGGCATCTGTAACAATGTGGTGATAATCCCTCACAATATTATAATAGTTAATATTTTAGCAGTTTATGGTGGTGAAAATTGTTATTGCAGATGTCCTTTTTAGAATCTGAAGTTTTCAATTGGGGCTCTGAAAAAGTTTGAAGTGGCCGAGTTGTTGAAGAGGTCAGTGAAGTGTAAACACACTTGAGTCTTCAAAATGTTGCTGTAATGCTTCAGTACCTCCATTTCTCTTTTTCTTACTCTGTGCTCCAGTGGCATCAATGATTTTTATACCTTGCTGTGGCTGGAGGCATTTTCAGGTTTTCTGTCCATTCTTGTAATAATAATAAAACAATAATAATGAACTTTAGTTATATAGCACTTGTATGGGGGAAAAAAAGTGCATGTTGACTTAAACTGCACCGGTTGGTGGAGGCATACAACCAGAGGCAGTAATTCTAGCTCTACTTAATATTGTTTTATTCCCTTGTAGCTAATCTCCATGTGTCCTCTGTGTGTCCTCTGCAGGTCGGTGCGGGCGAGGTGTCGCAATTCAGACCATCATGCCCCTTGCTCTGGCAGCGGCACAGGAAGTGTGAGTGTGAGCGTCCCTGGTTGGCTCTGCTGGTATGAACATGCCACTGCACCAAATCTCTGTCATCCCCCGTGATGTCACCTCATCACGGGTGTCGGGCAGCGGTAAAGCGAAGGACAAGGACAAGCAGGTATGTGATGAGTTAAACGGCCAAATCGGGTCACACTGCTCAAGGCTTAGGACACAGCTGAGGATTGTGGGGCAGTTTTTATCCTATAAAGTGTAGTTTTGAATCCTACATTAGCAGGGCTGAATTCTCATCTCTGCACCATAAACTGTGTTTCAGACTAATATCACATAGTGATAATTATGAATCACAGAGTGGGAATAAACAGTACATAGTTGCTTTAACATACGTTTATGGTTAAGTGATAAAACTGAATCCCTTGTGTAGGATTTATGAAACTTGTCCAAATGAGGCAATGGTGAGACAGTGTTTTACAGCTGTCTGACTTACACCCATGAGACTTGTTTGTTTCAGTTTCTTATGACAGTCAGCGTTGGTTTCTTTTAACCATGACCGCTGTCATCCTCAAACATAACAACAAAGCTAATCTCACTCCAATCAAGTGTTCCAGGCTGAAGCTAACCAAGCTTTAACCAAAGCGTAACAGTGATTTGTGATGGATTTCAAGCAGAATTTATGTCCTATCCTGCCGATAGTTGTAACATATCCTAACACACAGATATGTGTTAAAAAGGAAGAAGTGTTGTCAGTTATATTTTTATTTAAATATCATTAATTACACTTTTTCAAATTTGCATGTAGTTTGCCTGGAATAATGAAAAATATAATAAGTGTATGCATAAACAAACGATTTTTCATCCATCCCGAAGTAATTGGTTGCTGGTAATTGGTTATTTTATTTCTGCACCACATTTAGTTGCTTTCATCACACAAGCCCACAAGAAATAATGTTTGCCAGCTGCCTTAAAACATTTGATATATTGAATTATTGTTTTTGTGCTGAATGCATTGAAAAGTTGTGTGGATGCAGAAAATAATCTCAGTTGGTTTTAATTCTAAATGACACAGTGTTAGTGTGACGAGGTGGGCAGTGGAGAAAATGATCCTGCAGGTGCCCCATAGTCATTCATCAAGAACAATCAGAAGGTAATTGTTTTAAATGCCAGACGTGTCAATCCCAACATTTACAATAAACTCCTCTTTACAACATTTCTCCCTACAAATTATTTCTGTGGGTTGAGCTGAGGTTTTGCATCTAATGAGTTAGTTCAAAGTTGGTTCTGCTTTTCCATTTGTTGTTACATTAGCCTGTGGGCCATCTGCTTGTGCAGTTATGTGGTCAATTACCAAAGGTATCACATTTATGGTGATTAATTTATTCATGGAGTTTTGTAAAGGGCTGCATGGTGGTGTAGTGCTTAACAATGTCATAGCAAGAAGTTTTCTGGTTTGAATCCCGGCTTGGCTGGGGCCTAGTTGTGATCTTTGTGTGCAAGCATAGAGGCTTGTTTGTCTCTGTTTAGCTGCTTTCAGACGTGCACTGAACTCCAGATAATCTCCTGACATTCTCCATAGGGGCTCTATATGACAGTGAGTCAGAGGCTCCACATATCCTCCAGAGTTTCTCCTGAATTTTCTCCAAAAATGGAAAAACCAAAATAATGCAAATATCTCAGGATGAAAAAAACAAGTCATAGATGTAGAAGACGTTGACAAAGATGTCAAAGATGACGAGATTTGAGAATGTTTGGCGATAAGGGCCAGTGTTGATTTAATGTATTGAATAACATGTGATCTCCACAGTAGAACAGATACTTTACATCCTGCCTCTGCCTGCTGCACCTCACTTGAACACTAGCGACACATCACATCTGAAAACGGCTAAAGTTGGCTCTGTATGTACCGACGTCAGCTGGGATTGGCTCCCCCATGGGACCATCAAAGGACCTCCTCCCTTTTTCTGTACCGCAGCAGCAACAAACACGACAACAGTGAAGTGCTTTAGAGTGCAGTTGCTTTTTTTTGTGGTTGGGCTCTCAAACAAAGTGAGGTGCTAAGACAATATGTCTGTGGCGTGGCCTCTCTCTTCAGCCTCCTAAGATAACAATAGAGCCTGTAAGTGCAGTGGCACAGGTGTTCTTGAGAGGCTTCTTCACGCTGCATATGACGCTGTGTTTCTATGGAGTTTCTTTTCTGTCGGTGTTCAAGAGTCTGCACTCGTTCATTTAGAAAACATTATTTCTTTATTCATGTTCAGATTTTGTAACGTTATCCCTCAAAACCCTGCACTCTTTCAATAGGCATTTCTCAGCTGCACTCAGATATTCTGTTGCTTCAGTTTGAGTCTCTCTCAGATTTCTGCTCTCGCTCTTTATGCCTTGGTGACAGCCAGTCGCAGGAGGCATTATGTTTTGGGGTTTTCTTTCTATCTGTCCCACCAGTGTGAACACAGTATCTCAAGAACACCTTGAGGGAGTACCTGAAAAAACTTTCAGTCAGACTGAGATGAACCGATTAGATTTGGGTTATATAGCAAATCAATTTGTTGCCTACTGAACACATTATCCTTAGAACGCCTCTAGAATTCTAGAATGTTTTCAAATTCAGCACAAATGTTCACTTGGACTCACAGACGAACTGATTAGATTTGGGTGGTCAAAGGTCACGGTGGCCACACACACACACACACATACATACACGAACACAAGCACACATTCACCCCTGATGATTCATTTATTTTGAGCCTCACCATGAAGCTCAAAATCCTTGTCATTGCAGAAGTGAAAGTGAACTGGGGTTCATTTAAAAACTGGTTTCACGTCATGCTGTTTAATACAGGTGTGGGTTTATTTTAGCTACATGCACTTTTTCGAACAATGCATGCTTAACAGGATTATGGGTTTAAACTCTAAAGCGGACATAGCAAGGTTACATTTCTCTGCTGGGGAATAAAAATGGAAGCTTTATCATGTCTGTGGGGGAATCTGGTCTCCTTTGCTACAGAGACTGCAAGAGATCCAGCCCTGCATCTCTGTCTCCTGCTGGCTAAGCCTCTTTTTTCCCCCCGGGGAATAAGTGGATAACAGCAGTGAGTCCCGTCCTCCCTGTAGGACCATCGGAACAGAAACCGAGTGGAGGAGAAGTGAGAGGAGCATTTACTGTGAATGCTGATCAGCTTGAGGGTCCTGGAGGTGTGTGTGTGTTGTGTGTTTGTGTGTGTGTGCATACCCAAAGCTTAGTCACAGAGCACAGGCCCATCTGGCCCTCTCGACAACACAACTGGTCTTTTTGCACCGCGAGAAAAAAAAATCAGAACTTTCCTTCTACTTAGAATTCAGAGTTAGTCAGCTGCTCCTTTAGAGAGCAACACATCTTTAACTGTTGCCGGCCCCTCGCTGGCCTCTCTCCTCCGAGCTCCACTCAAGTCCATGTGTCTTCCCTGAAATCCTCTTTGGATATGTGCTTGTGGGCATTTTGTCCACGTGCTGTGTCCCCCACCTGAGAACTCATATAAGGGTGGATAATTGAGGTTTAGGAAATACTTTTGGGGAGCGAGACTTTCATTTCTTGCAAAAAAAGGAAAGAAAATTAAACACTCACTCATATTTTTTAGCTGTGGAAAATAATACGGTCAGATTTGTTTGAGTCTGGGCTTTTTGATAAGGTGTGCAGCGAATGGATTATGCATGAGTTTACAATAAAATAAGCCGTGGCATAGGTAGCGAAAGAGAAAAAGCAAAGTTATTTTGCTGTTTGAGGTCTTTTGGTCATGTGGTGTATCGGAAATGAGCTGTCAGTGGATGTTTGTTGATTATCCTGTCTCTTTAACCCCATTTGCATTGTCACTCGCTGCTGTTTTTACAATTTATTTACATGAGCAGCTTGTGATTACACCCAGCTGCAGCTTCCCTCTTTAGTCACACACACCAACGAGCAGGGCCTTGCTCACGCTAGTATTATATTTAGCAGTATGTCTGTGTGACCGTGTGCACACTGAACCCTCTGATACTTCATATCCACCCCTTTTGATGCTGCATGTATTTTTTATGAAAGCACAGAGCTTTGTCCTTCAGTAAGTGTGTGTGGGAGTCAAGGGCAGAGAAGACTACCTGTCTCCACTCTGATGTTCAGCGGTTTGTGCTCCTGGACTCTAATGGAGCATCTCTGGACTTTGTAGAAGCCAAGATAAAACACTGACCGCCACAGCGGAAAGTCCCAGTCGAGCCTCCGGGTAAAACACAGGCTGTTTTGTGAGTCTGTCTTTGCTGATTTAACAAAGCACTTCTCGTATGGTGACGTAACTTTTATTTGTTACTGCTTTTCCACCACTGAAACTGTATTCTTTCACTTTTGCTGTAATCTGAAGTATTTTGCCTGAAATGACAGGTAGCGTCCTGTTTAACACTGAACTTTAACATATCATCTCAATACTGTTTGATTAAATTCTACAAATGTGTTTAAAAAATGCTAGAAAATATGTTTCTCAGCCTTGAGGCAGGGAAACATTTTCCAAACATTTGGTGGATCTAAACTGTCCAAATCATTCCCCTCCAGATTGTGCTGCCCAGGGGCAAGCAAATGGAAATACCATGATAATTACCCAGAAAGCCTTGGGGCTGAGTAAACTAGGCATGAAATGCTGAATTATCAGGAAAAAGGAGTGTTGGAGTGTTGTGTAACTGAAATCTGTAGGGATTTAACCCAAGCTGGTCACAACATGTCGGGAACAGAGGATGTGATTGGTTTATTCTACGTGAATTACAGGTGCAAGTCTGTCATTTTACACATATGGGTTTTCTCTGCGATTTACATACATGCACAAATTATCCCCCTGTGACACAGACACTGTACACATGTTAATCCAGTTAATATTCGGGTTACACAAATGCAGACGTGTGCACGTTTTCACTCAACGTACATCTCATGTAAACACACACATACAAGCACACACCCCTGAATTCAGCCTGACACACTAGCAGAGGCTGGGCAGAGAAGATAACACACAGGCAGAATGGGATTCTCTCTGGTTCCAGTTTTTATAAAGGTATGAATGTTGTGTGTCGGCAAACTGACCTACTTCACATGTGGAATCCAGAAAAATTTCACAAATTGGTGAACATCTTGTGTTAAGATACTGATTAAAATACAATTACTGTCTGAGA